CTCCTTGTCTTTCTCTTCCTCTTTTTCTTCCATTCCTTTTATTTTTCGTTTACTACTGGTATCGATCCGATGTTAAAGGATAGGTAGGCAGGGAGATTTTAACGATTACGATTAAATTGTCCTTCATTTTGTGCCTACCTTATCCGCCCGTCCGTTCGTTCGTTCTTTCGTTCGTTAGTTCGTTCGTTGCAAAATTGTCATCAGTATTTTAAATCAAAAAATCTTTCAAATAAAATATTTTCTATAGGACTTTTTTTAAAAGAAATCGTAAATGTGAAATCTTCGTTGATTTTATAATTACTCGTCTTTTGATATCGTTTGAAATTATTCGTATAAAATGTCTTAAAGAGATGTACAATTAAGAGACAATGAAATAAATTAATTTTTAAATGAACTGGCAAATTACTCGAAAATGAAAGAGTGAAAGAGAGAGAGAGAGAGGAAAAATGGGGATAAAGGGGTGTAAATTTGTTCAAATTCGTAATTAATTTCAATTTAGTCCTGACAAAATATTCTAGCTACTTACATATTCTTTTCAAACCTCCCACCTTCTCTCCCTGTCTCTCTGTATGTCACTCACTCACTCTCTTTCTTTCTCTCTCTCTCTCTCTCTTTTCATCTAAGATCTTAAAGAGATATACTAGCACAGGACAATGAAACGAATTACCTTTTAAATAAGCTGCAAAATTTCGCAAGATGGAGAATGGGGATCGGATTAAAAATTTCTTCGAAATCTAAATGAGAATATCAAACGTTTATATGAGTCAAAATTTAAAATACATTTTAACCCAAGTGCCATACATAACGTTAGAGGAAATATTGAAGCTAGCTTGAACATTTTTTTCGTACTCTTTACCATTTTTGTTTTTTATCTTTCTATGATTCTTTGCAGACCTTCTCTCCCAACCCTCCTTCCTTCTCCAACATCACGGCATCAGCCGTGTTGTACGAACGAAGCAGCCATATTAAATTCTTGCTATTTAATTTGAAGACCCTTTTTCCGCTTTACAGACTTTAGAAAGTCGTTGACCTAAGTAATTCGATTCTTTTGTCCTCGGGTTATCGAGCCTACGTTACCAACGAGCTATATTGAAAAAGGTTTCCTTCCTTCCTTGCTTCTTTTAAAAGATAGAAATTCTTTCACCACGAACTTCGACTTCTTACTTCAAAACTTCTTCATGATACCGTAAGACCTTCTTATTGCACACTTTATCGTTAAAACGTTGACACGTTAAAATGATTGAACGTCAATTTACGTTCGTGATTTTACTGTTACATAAAAGTCATTTATCTAATTTATTATTATTTCGAATCTTTTTATATCAAGAAACATAAAAGTAGTGTATAATATATAAAACATATTTTTTTTAATTTAAATAATAAAAAGAAATGGGTCATTTTTTTATTTATATACGTTTTAAAAATATCTATATGTGTGTCTCTGTGTGTATTTTCTAATTTAAAAAATTTCATAAAAATGGGTCGATTATGTACACATATTTAACAAAAGATATATGTGCGTGCGTGCGTGCGTGTATGTGTATTTAAAAATTTCACGTACGAATAATCTTTATTTTTTTTTCAACGCGTAACATGCATAATTATTATTATTATAATATATTTATATAACTGTATGTGTAGCTAAACAAATATGTTTTATAAAAGGGTTGCTCGTTAAATTTGAAACAATTAAATATCGAATATACGAAATGACAATAGAAATATGTTGTTACTTATTTTAAAAGCGGAGAACTTTTCATATTATATTCGAGGATATATATACTAAATAGTATTATTTATCAAGGCGCTGATACGCGTTTATGTTAATATTCTCGAGCAACCGAAGAAAACATACATATAACATCATAACTTCTGACGAATTCAAATTAAGATAAATTAAACTAGAATCGTTTATATGCGTAAATGAATAATGTAAATGAAACAAATAACAGTAAAACATTGATTATACGAACTCCTGTTATTCGAATTCTTTAGTATTGTGTTATTTCATTATACGAACTTATTATACTAACATATTTTATATGTTATCCATATTAATATTAATTAAAATGAAAATGATAATATTGAATCGTGCGTGATAGACAAATTTCGATCTCGATAATTTGTAAATAAATCAAACATTTTGTATTTATATAAGTCAGTTTGTGTTTAGCACTGAAACCGTATTAATAAATTTACAATCGTCATAAAATGTCACCACATCAATAAACAAATGGTATTAATAATGGGAATAAAATATGAAATTGTTGAATAACTTGAGAATAATCCATTTTATTAGTGGGAAAAATACGTTCTAGGAAATCAACTATATTAAGGATATTAAAAATAATGATATTTTGAACAATTTGCAACATACTTCTGGTAACTATATCAATTAGATAATAAATGAATAATCTTAAAATATATTTTTACGCGTAAAAAAATTTTAAAACAAATATTTATTGTTTACGATTGACGAATACTCCTGTGACTCTCTGTAGTATATATATATATATACATGTTTGTGCATTTCAAGTATATACTGTGTGAGATAAATGGGAATTGTTTGTATGTATTATATGAATATAATGTATATATGTATTTGTATACTTAATGCAAATGCATAATCATTTATAATTACTTCTAATTAGTGAAGGACCTCATTATCAATCCTATCTCTCTCTCTCACTCTGCACTTTACTTTGTCTTCGTTATAGTTCATCCATCTTTCCCGTTAACAATGAAATATTCAGTACCTTAAGTAAGGAAATTAAATGCATTAAATAATGCAGTTATCATTTTTAGGTGAGATTTCATTTACGTTGAACAAATGACTCGAATAAACATAATGAATTGAAACGAGACGAGAATGTAAACGTCGTCTTTGAATAATCGTTGAAAAAGAGAGAGAAAGAGAAACAGGTAAAAAGAGAACTTTTGTTAAAATCCGAGTGACATAACCGAGAGTCTTCTGTACTTTTTTACTTTTAATTCCTGTAATACTTCAAATGATAAATAATCCAGTCACTTTCATTTTTAAATTTAAATTTTTAATTTTTTCAGAGAATATTTAATTTGATTATTTTTCACGATCAATTTTGTAATTAAACGATTATAATCTAAATTTTGGAATGCAAATAAGGTTAATCAAATGTTTAAAAGAATACGAATAAATTGAGCAATAAATAACGTCGAAATTGTGGAAAATGTATATTTATATAAATAACGCGCTATATATGTGCAATATATAATACTATTTTTATATAATGAAAACAAATATTCGTTATTTTATAATATATCCTAATGAAAATAAATATTAAATGATAAATATTTCTGTAGAGATAATATTTCTCCGCGTATAAATAATAAATCACGGATTCATAGAATATATTATATATTTTCAACATAGAAATATATTCTTAAAACATTTTTTTGTTATCTACATCCGAATAAATAAAAAGGATGAGAATATTTTGAGTATTACAAATACAATTCAGACGTTACTTATTGGTTCAACCGAATGCTATATAATAAGAATACGAGAACAAATGTTGCACCATTTCTATTTACCTTCTACCCAACGATTTCTCTTTCTCTCCCTTTCTCTCTCTCTCTCTCTCTTGAGAGCAATAATATTTTCGTAAACTGAGAAAAAGAAAGAAAGAAAAGAAGGAAAAGAAAGGGCGGGGGAAAATTATACATACAACATATACACGTTGGAAAGGGTGAAAAGAAGAGAGTGGTGCAGAATGGAAGGGTATAAATAGAATTAAAAAAAAGGGGGGTGGTAAGTGGGTGAATGTTTGGAAAAGGTGAATAGGTGTACGTGAGTGTTTGCGTACGAGTATACGTCGTAGAGATGGGTGGGAGAGTTTGTGTGTATAAGAATTAAAAAAATAAAAAAATAAAAGGAAAAAAACTAAAGGATTATTCCAAGAGGAAAATTCAAGTTGGGTTGGTGTAACACAACGCGTATATCCATCATCGTCGTAACTGTACGTCGTAAAGGAGTAATACTAATAGTAGTAATAGTAGTAGTAGTAGTAGTAGGTAATAGTAATGGTTCTGTAGTAAATATATATATACACATGCATAGATTTATATTTTTCTATTTTTTTTTTTTTTCTTCGGACGTGTAAATCCGCATTCAGTCTGCCAACCCGCAGGACTTTCCTCGTATAGAAACAAAACACTTGTTTGGGGAATAAAATGCATTCGAAAGGGAAAGAAAATGTCGAGAAAGGATATAACATTTCCCAGGATATTATAACGTCAGGATACGCGCGTTTAGGATTATATCACGTATATAGTTAAATCATAGTTTGTTGTTTTTTTACTTTTTTCTTTTTTATTCATATATACGGAAGGCAAAATATTTCAAACGAGGAGAACGTTGGAAGGATTTATGGTGGGTATCCTCGAATCTTTCAAATTAAACGTAGAGACACATGGATTAAGAAAAAGATAATAATAATATAAAAGAAACAAATTTGTAGGAAAATAAAAGGAACGTATGAACGAGTGATTTAAGGGTGTATGACGAGTACACGGTGGGGGTGGAGGGAGGGATGGTGATTTAGGTGAAAGGTAAAACAAAAAGATAAATACGTCGAGCAATTTGCATAATTCTTTTTATACTTTATTGCATATTACGTAATTCTTTTTTTTTTGTTTTTGTTTCTTCTTTCTTTCTTTTTTTTTACTTTTTATAATAATTATTATTATTATTAATTTTTGTTTTTAATTATTTTTTCTTTTTTCATTTGCTTCTTACAATCTAAGTTTCTCAATACAATAAAATGTTAGAGGGATGAGAGAAACAAGAACGGGGATATCGTTACCACGAATAAACATGGAATAAAAGGATGATAACCGACTAGGAAGAATCGAGAACGAGATAGAAAGAAAAATAGTGTAATAAAGAGAGAGAGACAGAGAGACAGAGAAAAAGGAAAAACGAATAACGTTTCGATTTTCCGTGCGATTTCGATTTCTATGTATTTTTTTTTTCTTTTTTTACCTTGCCAACCGTGAACCTTTTCAAATGTTCTCTTTCCTTAGAAAAATAAATCCTAGATATAATAGAAATATATCCTCTATTCTTCTATCGATCAAAGATTTTTAAATCGAATACGTTGGCAAGTTGGAAAGTTTTGAAACCCCTTATAGAAAAATATCGTTTAATTTCCGTCAAACATCACGTTTATTTAGGAAAAAAAGAAAAGATAAAAAAACAAAACAAAACAAAATTGTTCAATCGATCTTCGTGTAAAAATATTTCTTTTATTTATGAATACTATAGGAAAGAGAAAAGGGGTTAACCATCAAGTAAGATAATCAAAACTATCTTTCTTCGACATTTTTTTTCAATATTTTTGTTTCCATTCGATATTGTCTAAAGAAAAAAAAAACAAAATTTCGGTTCTTCCTTTAGGCTAATTTTTGATCACATCCCGAAATTACGAGTATTCCCGTCCAAAGCCATTAACGATATTAAACGATTAAATATTAAGAAAAAAAAAAAAAGGAATGTGTCCAGGGAGAAAAAAGTCGAATTGTTTAAGCAAAGGTCAAGGTGTTACTGAAGCTTCCAGATCTGTTCCGTGGTACGACAGAATCGGTAAATCTGATGGTTACCGTAGTGACCGCCATATTGCCGGTGAGGAATTGTGCCAAATTATCAACCCCAGCACGTGGTTGGCGATCGAAGGGATAACCCATGGAACGTGCGTCCGGATATTTGCGGTCCCTCAATCCGCAGAAACTCGTGGCATCCTTGCAACCCGTTGATTCTTCCTGTTCCACCTATTAAATATGGGTGATAACCATGAAATATGACAATTTTCAATTAACACTAGATTTACGGATATTTTCTACATTGTTTTTTTTATGATTTACAAACATTGTTTGAATGAAGGGTTGGATAGAATGGGGGAAATTAATATTTACGTATATTTCATTACGTAACTAAAAACTAACATGTGTTTTTAAAAAATAATATTTTAGTTTTATACCTATATATAAATATAAATTTTTAATGAGTCAAATTGGCTCAGTCCGTAAATCTAGTGTTAAACTATAATCATTGATATTCGTTTATATGTATGTATTATACAAAAGAAAAATTTCTTTTCTAATCAATTGTATTCTAAAATCTCTTTCGACAAATTCGATAGATTTGCAAGAGAAGAAAGTTTTAATTGAACAAAAAGTAAATCTAATCAAAACGATCCAATCAAATGTCTTCAAACAAACTACTACGAATCAATATATAGGTATATGCGTAGGAAAGCTGATCAATCAAAGTTACACATACACTATTGGTCAAAAGCTTGGAATTGATTACACATTTTCCATAAAAATTTGACTCTATCATATATCATATACTCGTAAAATTTTGTTTACGAATAAGTATACCTCTTGTATTCGACAAATATCGTTCCTTTTCCTCTTATCGGTTTTTACTATTTTTTGAAAACACTCAAAACTAGATTAAATGAGAAATAGAAACATTATCTAAGCAATCTTTGATTTATATCAACTAGAATTTGTATCAATCGTTCATAATTGTTATACAACATATGGGATTAATAAAATTGTTGTATCTTTACTACTCGGTTATTGCCAAAATATATTCATTCTTCTTAACAAACATTCTGCAAATGTTGTAAACAGTGATTAGAAACTTTTGGCCTTTAGTGTATATCAGGTTGAATACCAGTTTAAACAGGGTAACTTGCGTGACTATTCCAACGTTTCGATAACTACATATTCCCTTCGTGCCCGGAATCGGACAACGCAACGTTCCTGAATATCGGTTATCGAATACCCCTGGCGGTATGGAGTAACTATAGTATAAAGATCTATACACATATACGCATATAAACATATTGGTATAGACAAGCAAACACAATGACTAAGAGATTCGAGCGATTATTCACGCTGATCGAATTTTCGATTGATTTCTAACTACTTGTGAAAAATAGTAATACGATCATACTCTTTCGTTACTTGATACTTAACTTTTTATACTGAATTAAACAGATCGGTTTAAAAAAGGAATAAAAAAAAAAAATACAGATCGTTGAAAATTTTCCACATTGTTGGGAAAGTTATAAATATTCAATGCTTTAAATGTAATTCAGTATGAATGAATGAAAGAATGGGAAAAAGAGAAGAAAAATGAGGGTGAGGGAGAAAAAGGAGAAGAGGCCGTTTCATGGATGATTAAATATGCACGTCTGATGAACTCAATTGTACAAAGGGATTTTGTTCTACTCAGTCAATCAAAAGGATCAACGTAAAGGTAGTAATAGTAAGTGGCTGGCTCTATTGTGATCCATGCCAAAGGGCATCTTGTAATTCGATTATTAATTCAATGATAATGATGCTACGTCCATCCGACTGCCTGTTATCATTAAATAACAATGCACGAAAATACAGGATCTTTCACAAATAATATTACATTTTATTTATTAGGTTGTTCAGTAAGTCAATACGATTTTGTGCCATTTATTATTTGGTTGAACAAAAATCAAATGAACTTATCGAAACAATTTAATACGATGGAAATATTCATTTTTTTAATTGATTTCATTAGTTGTAATATACCCAATTCTGTTTTTTTTTAAGAAGAAAATATTTCTTTAGCAGACACTACGTCTGAATTAAACAAACAATTTTGTTAACAAGTATTTTTCGGGAACGTATCCATCGCGTAAAAACAGTATTAGGTGTAATATTGAAAATGATTTTTAAGTATGTATTTATATAATCAAAGAAATAAAATATAAAACTTACCGCATCGCCAGTGTAATCGGAAATCATGATAAAAAGATCCATCCGGAATCCTTCTTTGTTTCCTTTTGGTAGAAGCAAATGTTGGGGCCAGCCACAACCGCAGAAGTTGAACTGTTCCAGACTATCACCACCGATTGGTCTATTCTCATCAACGTTTCGGAAGGTTCTTTCGAAGGGAATAGTTAGCGAGGATTCGGTTGAACTACGTTGAATTGTATTCTGTCCAGGACGTACTAAAAACATAAATTAAAATAATGAAAAACGAACAAAAATTATAATATTTTATTAACCGGTTTACTGTCCCGTTAATTTGGCAAAATGTTACAAGTCTTAAAATAATATATGGAACAATATAAAATCATCGATCATAAATGACCAACGTAACAGTCAAACTATTATTATTTTCAATAATGAAATTCGTCAAATATCTTTCATAATTTTGTATAAATATACAAATATTCAACAACGATTCACGGAATAATTAATTACGTTAATACAGTATTTTTAATAATTCATTTTAAAGCATTCGTTATACATTAATTGTAGGAGTAGTTTGACTTACACAAAATGGTGAATTTATCCATTTCAATCATGAGATTCTTCTGTTGTCTGAATGTAAATGGTAATCCACGTTCGTCTTCTTTAGGTGCCATGAATATGCGTACGGTACCTCTTTTAGGTGAATTATTACGATTATTTGCTATGATCATATAAGTGAAATCAGAATGATTGAGATGAGTGAATCTGACGAGGACTGGTCCACGTGGAGTGAAATCGAGACCACGAGATAAATCGATGTCGCTCTTGTTCCAGAAGGTGGCTAAATTATTTGGGGGTTGATTCGCAGTAGTCACTCGAATATCGTTTATCTCTACTCCTGGAAAATCGAGCTACGAGAACAAACAAACAAAATAAAAATATAATAATCGATTGAAACAACGCAAAAATCAAATACCAATATAATTCGTTTCAATTAAATGATTTTTCTATTAATATTATAAATTAGATAAATTGACTGTCTCTCCAGTCCGATTGAAAAATATTTTACAAATTTGTCGATGTTATAATATGAAAAAATATTTGTACAAATAATGAAAGGATATAATTTAAATTTCCAATAAATAAGTAAACTCAAATTTAAATAATTCTTAATATTTAAATGCATACTTTAAATATTTACATTAACCAACGAAAAAAAAAAAGAAAAGAAATATTACGAACTTGTTAATTATAATATAACAAGCGTTCGAATTTTAATGCTAGACAAGATTTTAAAGCAAAGACGTTACTTGTTGTACGCTGTACTCGGGTAAAGTATTTTTATGTTCTTGGAATACATCATCGCAGAATGCATGGAATCTATAAAACACTGGGTCCCTCATAGCTGTAGCAGGTTCACCCATGATGCTAAAAGATTCCTGAAACGATATCAAACCAATATTGAAATTGATCCTCTCGTCAATGAATAATCTAATTGATCAAATAACGATTAGCCTTACCAAATAACGATTGTCAGGATCGTGAACGAATGAAATTAATACATGACCGAGATTATGAAGATCGCCATAAAGATTCACATTGGGTGATAGAATGCTAGATTCCATGATATTTCCAAGTACATCGATGCCTCCTTTTTCGGTAAGCGGTATTCTTTCGCCATTGATATTGGTTATCATTCTTGTATGAATAGCTTCGTAAATGCGATCTCGCCATCTTTCCAAATCTTGAATATCAAAATCCAATTGATCGGCCTGCCTGTTGATATCACGAAGAATGGCACCGCTTGGTCGAGACGGCCAGTTACGATTCGCAGTCAATGAATCCAATTTTGGGAAGTATCCTTCAGGAATCGGTTCTCGCCAGTTAATCAATCTAGTTACGCGTCCCAATCGATTGCACAAACGTTCGCAATTATATCTGAAAGAATGCGCGCAATGAAAATAAGAAAAAAGTGTCATCCAACGTCGTACTACCCCAACACTTCCATTCATCACCGCACCCGGTGTTCGTGCTCGATGAACGAGACGATATTTCTTTCTTTTTTTTCTTTAATATAACAAATAAAAAAAATAAAAACACGGAGTAAAAAAATCATTGAATCAATAAAAATAATTTCTCATAAGATCTCGGACTTTCGAGCGTGCTATCCGACGAATATATGTTCAATAAACCGAACAATTGGTCAGAGTTAACGATCAAAGGGGTCTCCTACGGTGTAAGAGATGAAAAGTTAATTAGCTATGAATGTGTAGAAGCTAGAGACTATGGTATGTAGGATGGTAGAATAGTATAGAGATGGATAGTATAGAGTAGGTACGATCTATCCGGCTTATGTCTAGCAGCTACTGGTGCACCTGGCTTGGATCTGCTGATGCATGTAGTAGAAGAGCTCCCCACGTCGATCCTTGTTAACGATTTTCATGTCGCCCTCGAACGGATAAACCAGATGCCAATGCCAGTGATGAAGATTGACCCCGATATCTTCTCTCCAGTAAGCAACTCTGTGCTCCTCGTCAAGATCGGAAGCGGTGAAATCCCTTGGAATTTCAATGGGAATCTAAATGAAACGTTATAACAACCGTTAAATCTTTTTACATGTTACCACATTCCTATCTATCAATACATTGGTGATTGTTTATGTAAGTAAATTCGTATATCTGTTAATGTAATACGTGCGAAACGTTTCAGATTAGATTTATTTTTAAAACTAGACATTTTTCCGAAATTCTCTTTTTATTTTCCAAATCCCTGCTCTTTAATCGGAATATATAATTTTTTGTGTTTTTTTCTTTTTTATATATCAACGTTATTATTAGGTTATTAACTATTATGTAGGTGATTTATAAAAAATATAATACTAAAAAAAATGAGATAATTAGAGAATTTCTGTTAAATTTAAAATCCTTACCCTCTGACCAGCAGATGAAACGTTGGCTTCTTCTCTGGCACGTGAAAAAATACCACCATCGATATATTTATCAGGAAAAACTTCGTGTAAAGGTGGAATCGGTAAATTTTTAGTATCCGGACGATGCAATATTGCAACTGACAGTGCATAAATAAACATGTTCGGATTCATTCGATCACGACAATAAACCGCTACCGATAAGAAATCTTCGTAGGTTCTCATACCTAAATTCCATAAAATTCTTTCTCAATAAATGTTAATCGATTTTATTGTATAAAAAAAAGATCATAATCGAATGAAATTACAAACCCATGAATATGTCAATTAGACGTGCAGCTACTTTACGATGAGCAGGTATGAATAATGAGAACGGTGCCCTACGGTCAAGTTGCATGGGAATAGTTAGATCAGGTAAACTAATCTGTTTCACAGGTATTTTAGTATCGGTTGTCTCACCGAATCTATTGAATATGTCAACGGCTGCTGGACGATATTGATCAGGCTAAATAAATGATAATAAAATGAAAATTCTTCTTTGTCGCAAATTATTCTTAAATAATAGTGTTAAAAAAAAAACAAAAAAAAACGAAAAATAAAAATTAAACAATAATTCGAATCAGTAAATATAGCTTATACGATGAAAACAATAATATAAATTTAGCTAAATACAAATTTAATTTATAGATATGATGAATTGTTACATCTCCTATTTTATATCGGATGATAAGAGTATTCGCTTTATAGAAAATTCGTGCTTTAGAAATTAACACACACGTCATACATTAATATAGTGTAATTAAATTTATACCCACCAAATAATCAGCTGGTATGTCAAAAGCCACCCGTTTTTCTCCTTTGGGTACGTAAACGGGTTCGGCAGGACGATCGAAAAGATAAAGTATTCCAGATTTATCGCTGCTCGCCATTTTCACGCAAGTGTTTAATTAATTCAGAAAGAAATTCAAATTAAATTTTTATTGAATTAACTAGAAATTGTAATATTGAAATCTAACGCGTTAGGTTTCCCAACATGTTTTGAAGAGATTGAACACGGTTACTTGCTTATATATACTACTTGTTCAGGATATAGTGGTGGACAAGAACTGACAATAGCATACAAACTAACCGCAAAATCCGTTCTAAATACAAAAAAAATAGACATACTCTAAATTTAAACATCCTGTATTTTTATATCTTTTTCTGTTTTCTTTTAAAATATTATCCTGGTCTTTTTTTTGTTGTTTTTTTTTTACATAGAAAATTATGAATTAATCGATCCAATCGTAAAATCAAAAAATTTTGTTAAAAAATATTATAATAACGTTGCACTAATTGATATTCTAATTAATTTCTATTATACACCGATACACATTAACAAATTGAATTTTCTGATCGATCTTTTCGAAAATCAACTAACATCTTTATTAGTATCATAAAAAGAAGTCGACTATTTGATCATGCCATAGAACCATTCGTTGTATCTATCTCTCTAAGCTTCGAGATTGATGATACTCGATGTATATACAAATCGATAAAAAAGTAAAAAAAAAAAAAAGAGCGAGAGAAAGAGAGAGAAGCAATTCAATCACGGAGAACCTCCTCTTCCATTCAATGATCTTTTGCTTTCAGTATACATTTCTATCGCGAGGATTTTGTAGACACGTATTGGGATGATGATGAAACGTTTAGGGCTAAAAAAAAAAACAAAATAGAATAAAAATAAAATTTAATAGAGAACAATTTTTCATATATTTCCGTACTTTAATTATTTCATATATTTCATAAATTTCCGTACTTTTTACATTTTCTTTCTTTACTTGAATTATTTGTCATTTCAAATCGTCGACAATAAGAAAGATTATTATTGGATTTTGGTTTGAAAAAAAACAATATATACATATAGATATATAGAATATAAAAAAAGGAAAATTGGTTATCTTCGTTTGACCACGTACACCGCAATATCCGGAAAACGAGAAGGGATACCTCTCTTTGAGGCCGACGATTCTTTCGATAAGGATGACGAGGTACGTTTTAAATCGTCGTTGTCGAATACCGATTTAGTCGAGATTACAAAACCGAGAAACCAACAGAAAGAACAAAATAAAAAAATATATATATATCCTACACGTTCATTTTCGATGTAAACGACTACGACGACGACAAGAAAACGAACATACATTCGAACACTAGATATGCCATTGTTTTATTTCTGCAGAAAAAAAAATAAAAAAATAGGGGACCTGGAGGAGGAGGAGGAGGAGGGGGCGGGAAGAGAAATAGAAACGGTGTTTGTATTATATTTGAAAAAGAACATCTTTCGGTTATTTTTTTTTTCTGCGCGAAATCGGACACATTTTTTATCGTTTCGTTTTCTTTCTTTTTTCTTTTTTTTTTTTATCGGTATGCTCGCGACCAGTACCATACGGAGAGATAAAAAAAAACGAATATAAACAAAAAAGAAACGACAAATATTCTAGCCAACGTCTATGCAAAAGTTTGTTTCCAACAAAAGTGAAGAAAAAATCTAATGAAATACGCAAAAGAAAATGTTTTGTTTTAAAAAAAAATTGACTACTATTTTACTTTACATATTAAATAAAAAATAAGTATATATACATATATACATTGAAAGCAAAATTTCAAAAACGTTTCAGTCGTGGAAATAATCTTTGAAATGGTGTGCTTACTGGTAATGCTAGTGCCCTTTATTAACGGGGTGTGCTTTTACATTTTGCTCATCTCGTCGTCGAGCTTTCTATCTATCTATCTATCTATCTATGTATCTAGTTCTTTCTCTCTCTCTCTCTCTCTCTCTCTCTCTCTCTCTCTCTCTCTCTCTCTCTCTCTCTCCCCCACTGTCGATAACATAACTTGGCATGTATCGACAAATATTCCCAGAAACTTGGCTCCAACCCTTTGGAATTTGCGAGAACTCCTATCCTCTGATTTCCTTTCTCCTAATCAAATTTCTGATCAATCACTTTGTGTCCCGTTACAACTAATCGTCTAAATCGTTTCTAATAATAGTTTATATCCTAACAATTATAATAATAATCATGCAACGATATTTATTATCCTATTCCTGTCTTGTTAATATCCCTTTATAACAACATGTAACTTCGAATTGATACATTGAAATTTTTATTATATTTGAGATTGTTCTTGTTTTTTTGTTTTTTTTTTATAATTGTATTTTAATTTACATATTTTTATTATTTTGTTGAAATATATATATATAGTATCGATAATTAAAAATGCAAAAAATAAGATAAATGGCGCAAGATACACGATGGATTCCTCTATTTGCGTATAAGTATCTGAGTGTATGTGTGTGTGTTTTTTTTTTTTGTTCTTTTTTGTTCACAAGTTCGTACATTAATAATAATAATAATAAACATAATAATATAATCGTGTTTATAGAATTAAGATTTGACATTAAAAAGATCGTGTCTTCTTCTTCTGCTTCTCTTTCGTCGTCTACCCCTCCTCCTTCTTCTGCACCTTTCCCTAATATCTTCTTTGGTCCTTCGAAAATAATTATCATCATCATTGTAATCGTGATCGTTATAATTTTCCTGATCGTCGTTATTATCGTTGACGATATTATTATCCTTGGATTGCAAGCTTCTTCGTAGACGTTTATCGACGCGTAAACGTGTAGTAGTATTAGTATTATCTCCACAAGTTGGATCATTGCAATCGATGAGAAGCCTTGAATCGCCTATCCATTTCCCATGGCAGCTCGAATTCATAGCAATTCTAACAGCACTTCCGGCCTCATAGGACGTCGATAGTTTCCATCTGCCAATACCCACGAACAACTTTCCTCTTCTACCTTCTTTAATAATACTACTACTACTACTAATACTATTATCGATACTACTACCACTAATAATTTTATTATTATTAATACTACTACTAATTCCATCATTTTTTTTATCTTCCTCGTCATCTTCCTGTCCACGTTCCTCCACGCATATTCTAGTACCTGAAAAATATGAAATATTCAAATGCAAATATAATTAATTGCAATTTTATTATCATTGACACACTAGGGTATTGTATTTTATTGTATAGTTTTTTAGAGAGACAGAGAGAAAGGGAAAAAAAAATTAAACAAAGAAACGGTGTTTGTATTTGAAAAAGAAAATCTTTTGAAATTATTTTTTTTTCAGTGCGAAATCGAACACATTTTTTATTATTTTGATTTTTTCGGTTTTTCTCTTTTACTTTTGTTATTTGCCGACCGGTGTCATACGAAGAGAGAGAGGAAAAAAAAAATATTATAGTAACATTGATACAATGTTTTTTCTAAAAAGAAAAAAAAGCAAGCTTTTCATTTTTTCGAGAATAGTATTTGAAAAAATTTTCGGTCGGGTATATATTGCGAATTTGTGATTAATACGTTAATAATAAAATATCGACGTGTCACAAATTCTACGATATGATTATTTTTTAAATGAATAAAAATATTCTCTCTCGTGCATCCGTTTGATTATTCATTTAAACCAAAATATTTTGTCAAAAATATAAATAATTAAATAATAATAAATTCTTTTTTTTTTTTTTTTTTATTTTTTTTCAATCACTTTACTTTCCATTTATTTATTCGATTGTGCATTTTCACACGTTGAAAAATAAATATCCGATTTTTGATATTACGCGTATATGTTATATTATGTTACGCTGGTAATATACGATTTTATTTGTTTTCACTGTTTTCTATTTCTATTAAAATATTGCATATAGTATAACCTTCTCTATGAAATTTATCCTTACCTTCGGCCAAGGAAGAAGATATCCTTTTGCAAGCTTTGGAAGCACGCACGATAGTGAATGCAACACACCTATGGCTGAAAGGTACGAAATATTCGATTACAACTAACATCCTTCGATCGTATATTTTTATCATATTTTTTTTTGTTCAAACTTTCCGACGTTGTATTTGTAATTGTTAAAATATCCATATATGTATTATAATATAATAATACGATATTCAACGTTAAAGAAAATATTGAATTATTATTTGACATCGAGAGAAGAAAACGGAGCACATACACCTACTTGTATATTTCGTATTAAATATTTAAATGTAATATACACACGAAACGAATAAAAGAATGAAATAGGAAAACGTTCGCTAGTTTGAATTTCCAGGAAAAGAAATAATAATAATAATAATGATACAAGAAGAAGAAAGGAAAATAAAGTATAATATTAAAAGAGAACAAAAACGCGTGCAAGAGTACTACCTGCCATAAAGAATCACTTTGTGTTGAGAGCGTGAATACGTATGCGTACGTGCGAACGTACGTACGTATATGTGTATGTGTGTGTGTATGTATGACCCACATATGTCAATGAAAGATCTTTTTAACTCTTTTAAAAGGTGAATTTATCTCGATAGACGCCAATCACACGATTTTGAAAAAGTATTCCGATGACGTGTATACGACTCGATCAACAACGAATTTATATACTTCATGTATGTATGTATGTACGTGTATATATCAATGTCGTTCTTGTATAAACATTTTTCTCATTCTCTTTTGCAATATTTTTTATTATTTTTTCTCTCTCTCTCTCATTCCCACTGCGGTTTTCCCTCATTTTCTATCCGAAGAATGATTTTTTTTAATATCTTTTTGTTTTTTTGTTTTTATACGCTACTTTTCCCAGTAACAACTACGTACACTCGAAAAATAATGATTTCCATGTTTATTCGTTATTCACGTATATTTGTTACCACTTTAAAATTAAATTGCCACTCTCGAGACACGACGACCATTCATATCCCTACTCCATCATCACCCACATATTCGTATAGTATACCAATGGTGATATTGTTTAATAAATTGTTTTATCAAAAAAAAATGTCAGAGAAGGAAATATAGTTTTAAAAGGAAAAGAAGGAAAAAAATAAAGCGAGAAGTGATTTACAATATTACGATTAAAAAATTCAACGAGAATAAAAAACAAAAGGAGATAATATTTTAATCGAAATGTTTAATAGATTGTCACCAGACAAAAAAAAAACAAACAAATAAAAAAAAGAAATAACATGATATATTTATATATCGGTATGATGGAATAATGAATGAATAGATTAAAAATAAATACGGTGACTATTGTTCGCGAACTTTTTTTATTTTTTTTTTTTAAATAAAAGAATAGGAAAAAGAGGGAGAGAGAATCATTAAAATTATAATAGTGTTGTATGAAAAAAAAACGTTTGAAAAATTGTAGGATTTGAAAATAACGAAATATTTATGAGCTTTATAATCTATCAATAAAGATAAACGTCGTTTTGTTCGTACCACGAATCTATTCTGCGGGATTTTTCATGGAAAATTTTCTGGAAACGGTAACTGGTAATACATGCATGCATGCATACATACATGGATACATGCATAGATGGGTAACTAGATAGATAGATAGATAGATAGATAGATAGATAGATAGATAGATACGTAAACGTTCGATCGATGGATGGACTTGTAAATTTCAATATATATATCAAATTTACATTGAGGTGACTCGAAAATGTTCAAAAATATATATAAACCTTGCCTGCGACAATTTTCAGCGTGTTGTTAGCATAGAATTTCGTTTTATTTTTTTTTCACCTCCAACCACCCCCTCTCCCTTCCTCCCACCCGTGTCGAGCTATTAGTAACGACCGTTGTAAAATATCAAAATCCCCGGAAAAAAAAAAGAAAAGAAATCCTCAAAATGATGTCGTATAAAATTAAACGTGTAAAACAAAAAGAAAAAAAAAATCCAACAAACCAAAATAGAAAAACCCGTATCCATGGAATGAGATTTACGTAAACCGTACGTGAAATATTGCACGACGCGTAACTGAAAACAAAGTTCTACGGTTTCGCTTGACGTTTTGCATAAAAACGTATATATTTTAAAGTCGAACGAAAATATTATTGGTAACGATTTCGATGGAGAGAGAGAGAGAGAGAGAGAGAGAGAGAGAGAGAGAGAAAGAAAGATTTTATTTAAAAAAAATTACGAATAACGTGAGTTCATTGTAAAATCGTCGAATTGAATTACAGATAGTTTTCACGACACGATAGATAGTATTCCTATAAAATGTGCCGTGTTGTGTGAGAAAAAAAACCCCATAGTTTATTATTTATTTTAAAGTAATTTAATTTTTATGTGTATCAATGTCGTAATTTTTTGTTTCTTTTGTTTTTGACCCACTTTTGTGCGTTATGTTTCTTACCTCATTTTGGGTATTTCATTTTCAATGCCAACTTCGGTACCGTTGTATTCAGCAGGTAAAAAGGATAGTAACGTCACACCTACGAAAGATCAATCGGAAATCGTCTCGAACATTATTTATAATATATTATATATATATATATATGAATTAAACATAATCGAAGTAGAGAAAAAAATAAAGGTAACGAGCAAACATTCCTTACGGAGAAGAAAAGGTGCATATAATTCAAACGGAGAGAGAGAAAAAAACAAACAATAGAAAATAGGGGAAAGAAAAGAAATGACAATAAATTCGAATGAAGTACAGGTAACCCTCCTATACACGGATAGGTTCACACATAGATATTCTTAGAAAATACCGTGTCGCGTGTAACCGTGTTACATTAAACCCAGAAAGATTTTATTATTTTAAAATAATTTATGATATTATAGTTTTGTAAATATGTTAATCAAAAATTATGTTATCCAGAGAATGCTGTGTGTTAGAAATACAGTATTTTACAAAGGTTCTCGTTAGAATTTTTGTATTCGTGTTTATAAAATGCCGTGTGTTGTATGAGGATTACCTGTATCAATTAAAATAAAACGAGAACAAAAGAAAGGCGAAAAACTGAAGCAATTTTTTTTTTCTTTAGTTTCTTTTCTTTTTCTTTTTTTTTTCTTTATTTTCACGGTGTTCACTAAATTCCCGTGATCACTCACTCCTGTCGTGAAGCAAAGGACGAAGAATTCCAGAGTGACAAGATTGAAAGCTTCGACAGCTTCTGATTTGATCCAGTCTAGGACAATGCTTTCCACCATTTTTCTCCGAGATTCGTATACTGCGAGTTCGTTTTTGTGTTCCACTGCCACATCCCGTATTGCACGCTGACCACTCGCTCCATTCGCTTACTATACAATCTACCACTGTAAAAAACAACAAAATAAATAAACCAAATACTTTTATTTATGTTAGTTATACACGTGTACAGAATAATTATGCGAGAAGGGTTCTTTGAAAGGAAACCAAACAAAAAAAAAGTAATTATTAAAAGAACTTATAAGGAATATTTTTACGAAGATCTTTTATATATATANCTTTCATCAACATTTTATATAAAATAGTATATGGTGCACTTTTTCAAAACCTTATCCAACATATTTGCAACCAATTTATTTTTTTTTTTTATTATTGTTTAAACACACGCAAAATATTAAATTATATTTCTTTTATTTTTTATTTCATTCCTTTTATATTTTTCATAACCGGTGTTTCGTTTCGTTTCGTTTCGTTTCGATAACAATTTGATTAAGAATAAATCTTTGAAATCTGACTATTATTTTCAACACGAATTCGATGGTTCTATTCACGATGAGGGACGGTGGTGGAGTTAGGGGGATGGGGGAAGGGAAACGAAGAATTCGTCATGAATGAATCGATCCGCCTAACTCCACCTATACGTGTGTATAACTATACATATGTATGTATGTATGTATGACTGTATCTATGTATGCACTCCTATATACGTTTTTCTATTAGCTCTATTGAATTCGAAACGACTACGGAAAAATAGGCTTTGGTTGATATTTATAATCCTTTCTTCTTCTTTTTTATTTTTTACTCCCCCTCCTTCTCCTCCTTTTTTTTTCTCATTCTTTTTATTTTCTATTCGATAAAAATGTTCATACGTCCGATATATATACGTTTTATTTTGTTAGTTTTTGCTAAAACCGAACGGAAATGTACGAAAAAGTATTCGCGAGAATGAACAATTACGTATTGTTATTGGTGTATAAATGTTTCTTTTTTTTTTTTTGCAAAATAAAAATCGTTAATTCGTATTTTCATTTGAGATGATAACGTTTAAATGCGAATAATTGCAAATGTTATCGCAGGAAATAATAGAAATAAAAAAGAAAGAAAGAAAGGAAAAAAAAATAAACCTGCATCTATGGTGCATTTATTTAATGAAGAAAAAAAGAAAAAAAAAAAGACTACGAATATTTTCAAGAGAAAATTGATTGAATAATGTCTATTCTATACGCATAAAAAACGAGTAGAAATATGAAATGATAAAAATCGAAAAAAAGATTATATTAATAAACGATTATAAACAACGAAAAATCAAACGTCAATGATGAGGGGGAAAAAAAAAGCAAAGATATGCGAAAAACAGATAGCCATGCAATAATTATTGATTTGACTTAGACCACTTTGATAATTATGGGCACATAATATATAGTGTCACACGTATATATTTAATAATATGTTAATAGAAAAGATTGTTGTGTTTGAAAGCTTTCCTTTTCGATAACCTATTCCCTTTACATTACCCTCGATCTTTAAACAGGGGTGCGGTGATCGATCGATTCACTATAGTACGTCGAGAGCTAAATAATTTCATCCATTTGGCTTTGGAGAACTTCAATGCCAACAAAGGGACAAAATGTTTTACCTAGTGGAATCCGACAAAACTCTATTATTCGATATGTACGAAATATGAAGGTAATTTAAAGAGAAAAAAAGAAAAACGTTTAACCAAACAACAACGACAACAACAACAATAAAAATCGATTCGTATATCCAAACGTCAGTCAAATTTTGTGTGCTTGTTGGTTTTTTTACTTTTT